TGGTTATCAGAAAACGACCGGAAAACAATATTTTCAAACTTCAATAAAGCTTTAACACAATTTGCAACAATATCTGTGACAAGCTGCTCGTGTGAGAGGGACATTTCCAAATTGTCTATTGTAAAGTCTAAATTTAGAAACACTATGTTACAAGAACGTCTTGATTCACTGATGTTAATATTTATCGAGCAAAAGATGGCATCAGAAATGAATATTGAAGATGTAATAGATGAATTCAAAGCATGTGTGCCGATAAAAAGAAGACTTGAACTTTAGATTTTAAGTACTCTCCATAAAATAACAACATTACAAATATGTTAAAATTATTCAAAAGCATTCAATATAGTACATACTTGATCTTAAATAAATAATAAATTTTTTTTTAATAAATATAAATCAAATTTCAAACTACTTATTTCTACAGTGCATTGTTTAATATTCTACTGTAAAACTATGTGTGATTTTAGATTCTAAGGGAAGTAAAGAAGCTAAGTAGTATATATGCAAAAACTTAGATTGTGACTTGAATCTTATATGCGTTAAAAAAAAATGCAAATACATTAAGGGAAGATTAGAAAATTTATTTGTGAGGGGCCTTATATTTCTTATTGCATAACCTGCGAATAAAGTCTGCGCATGCCTATGCTGGTAAATCCAATGAGTTTAAAAACTCTGTTGGATAATTTACAGCTTCAGTAGCATCGTAAACTGTATCAATAGATTTATATGACACCAAGTCTCCTGGTAACAATTGTAGTATCTTGAAATTCAATTCGTTGACGTCCACATTATACATTTTTTGCTACTAAAATTGCTCTTTCTGCCTGCCACTCATGATTTGTGTATTGACTGTGTACATTGGGAAATATCTGGTCAATGAGAGCATCTTGCGAATAAATGATTGTGCAGAAATCGGTCGGTAATTTTATACATCCCATTTCATCTGTAGTAACTTTCCTATCTCCAATATCTAACAATTGTTTTGAGAATCTTCCGCACGCAGCTTTTTTTGATTGAATCGCAAGTATCGAAATCGTTCGCTCTCTATCTTTACATACATTTTTACCATAAATTGTTGACAAAGCTCATGACATCGTAGAATAACTTAGTCCTGATCGCGTCTAATCATCAATCGATTACATAATAATTCTTCGAACTAACATTCTTATTTGTTTTGGCACCTGTTGCGGGATCTTGTTGTTTAATATTTATGCAATACCCGTAATTTAATACCAAAAATAAAATTAATAGTTTTTTAATAGTTTTATTTAATAATTCATTTTCAATTGCGCAGTTATCTACCGGGTCAAAAATTATTAAATTAAACTATGATTTATTGAAAAATAGCACTTTTCAAACATTTTTTTTCGTAGAAACCTTCCCCTGGCAATTATGAACAATTTAAAAAAAATTGAACCAAATCGGCCCAGCTGTTCTCAATTGATGAAATGTTATACATTTTTTACTCCATTTTTATATATATATATATATATATATATATATAAGATTATATATTTTTGTTTCGAATCAATTGTTAACTTTGTAAACTTTACAAATACTTATACTAACACAAATTAAATATTTTCGGTGCAATAATACAGTAAAATTGACTAAGAACATAGAGATTTGACATAATAAAATTAAGGATATATTCAGTATTGAAAACTTGGCCTATAATCTATATTTTACTTAAAAAATATATATAAATCATTTTTTCTAAATACATTCCAATTAGCGTCACTGCTATTATCATAAAACAAAATTCTGTAGCTTGCAGGTAGTTCGTACACCTCAATTGAATATAACATAATCCAGATATTACAATTAATAAGTAATGGAGGGTATAAGGAGTCAATAATCTCATAAAAATTAAATATTATGCAATGTATAATACGTAATCTTTGAATATTTGAATATATCATAATAGCAAAATTAATTATATATTAATATATACCATTTGTAAATGAAATATACACTTAAAATATGATTACATACCTACATACATTAAATATATCCAAAGGCATTTGGCAGAATAAGCGCTACCTGAAATAATATTTAAGGTGGTTAGTTACATACATTTCTAAACCCATAATTCCATTATTTTGGAAGCCATCAACGAAGTATACAAAAAATACTTTAGGAGGTAGAGGTTATTCAGTATACAAATACCGATCTGATGTTGATCATAAGGAAATTAAAAAAAGTTTCGCTTGATTTTAAGTATAATTTCAATAATTACTAAATGAAAATATACAGTAAAATAAAATAAATAAAACACATAAAACATGTTAAAACTATTTTTCTGACAAGTATAAATTAATTTTTAAGCTGTAACAGAAATTTCAAAAATATTCGAAGAGTTTTTCAAGAGAAGGTTGATGAGTGGATTGTGGGTCCTTATTTGTTTCTAGGTGTTAATAACATAGTTATATTGATAAGAAATATCAATACATTTATTAAAACTGGATTAAAATAAATAAATAATAAATTACCTAATGAGTGGCTGAGCATGTGTAGATAAAAAATTAAAAAATTTAATAAAATGTTCACCTCTGACAATTTTCAAGTTTACCTCGTCGCTTAGCATTTTATATTCATATCAGTCTACGTATTTCACATCGTAACACATTTCTTGCATACATTCGATGGCAGAATAATTTGGTAATCTGTATAGAACGCAATTTGTAACTACAATGTATGGAAAAATAAATATTTATTATTTAAGGTTGGTGAATGAAATGATAAAACCAAAATTTAGTATTCACCATAAGATCTAACGTCCTAATTTTATATCAAACAACAGATCTACGAGTTTTTTTAGTTAGGTATACAATTTCCTTAACAATTTGAATTTCAAATTTCTACATAATAAATTTCGTATCGTAAATATTAATACATAACTAAAACATACCTATATTGAAAAAGTTAAATTTATAATTTATAAATTACTATGACTTAATAAAAATACTGAGGCGTAGATCCCGAGATCACATAAATAATATACATCTATCTATGTTTCTACAAGGGACTAGAAAGATTTGAAATGTCATTTTAAACCAAATTCACATGTATCAAATTTTGTAATGCATATTTAAGCATTTTTCTCACTCTAGATTAATTAAATGTTTTTCTCTTTATGTCAAACATATAATATTATTATCAAATTTAATATGTTTAATAAATCAATAAATTTGTATTATTGTTTACAAATTAAACAGCAAACATTGCTTCAATTTTTTTTAAAAAAAAAAATTTTAAAGACATACATAAAAGAAATTTAATTATTTAACCTATGAGAATTTATTTTCTAATAACCTACAAGACAAACAACAGTAATTTTGTTCTACATATTAAGATAAATTAAATTTAAATTTAACATAGAGGTAATTAAGCAACATTATATTAGTATATCTAGTATAATAATATTAATAATAATAATAATAATAATAATAACAATTATAAATAAAATATCCTTAAATTAATATTTTTCATGTAACCTAAAAATACAATGCACATTGTATAAACAAATATACAATTCAATATTATATTAAAGCTTAATAGATTTTATGATTAACAAACTAACAAAAAAAAATAAAAAATGTCTTGTTAATATTACAATAGAACTCAATTTTGCATGTCAAAAATTTTAATTTGCATTTCTCCAAGTACGTGGCAAATTATTATCTTATAATTTATAAAACTATATAACCTAAACTTAATCATTACACTTTACAATTCAATATTTATACTATCATGATAATTTTCAGAGAAAGACTAAATAAAGCAAAATATCTATAGCCTATATAGCCCTAAAGTTTATAAGAATGATGGTACTCCTTATATTTTATTTTAACAAAATATTAAAATTTAACTTGTAAATAAGTTAAATTTCACATCTTAAACACAGTTAAATATAATTTTTATTTTAACTATAAAAATATACTAAGAAAAGCATTATTTAATGTTTTATAAAATATATTATAAAATCTTTTATGGTATTATCCTTTCGCACAGTATACATACAACTATATATTAACATCAAACAATTTCAAAATATGCCAATTTTTTTAAGTGATTTAGGTTGTAGTGTATTCAGTCTTTTCGGTATTTTATTTTATTTTTGTAGTCTTTTATTATACAAAATTACATTTTTCATAGAAATCAAAAAAATTATCAATCTATTAATTATCATCATTATCTATTGCATAATGTTTAGCTCCCTCTATTTATTAGACATAACAATAATATAATAATATTTTTGTTAAACTATGATTGATTCATAAAAAAATATTTGAAATAAAGCAAAATACCCATTATAAATTAAACCACTATAAATAGGGCTCAGAAACAACAGAAACTGCAGCTGCATGAATGAACCAAAAATAAAACCAGTATAAAAATATATTTCATATATTGAATAGATTCAAACCAACATTTATTTTGCGTACTTTAATATGAATTGGTGTTACAGAAAAATTTAACATTTCTTTATTTTATAGAACTACAAATTTAAATCTAGTAAAAAATAATTTTTATAACCAAAATGAATTAATAATAATTTTGATACCTAGTATATATTTATAAAACAGTCTTAATAGTTCATTAAAAAAGTTTAAAAAAGTTGATAAGTTTAAAAACTCTAAATTTGCTATTCCTTTCATATTCAACTAATATTTTCCTGAATCTTAGATATATATTCTAACTATTTACATAGTTTAACTTATATGTAAAATAATTTTAACTGTAAGACATATATTTTATAAAGAGTTTTGGGTTATTTAATAATAAAAACCCGGGCTACATACAAAATAAATAAATAAATAATTAAACTTCAATAAATCTACTGTCCTACTCATAAGTTATGGTAGAATTTATAACATATTCTGAATGCATTAGCATTGGAACACAAAAATTTTAAATATTAGACAAAAAAAATTAACATTAATATAACAATAATAAATTACAGAAATATTTATATTTTTGTACAAAATAATTTTCAGAACATATAAATAAATAACATTTTTGATGTTATAAATATAGCTTCATTACAAATAAACATATAGTACTAGGAAACAGAATTTAAAAATGAAGATAAAATAGGTTCAATCTCATGTATAATACACAAGTTATTGATGGTCACTATATCTGCATAAATTTTTTGTTCTAATAGTACCCTAATTGGTACCCACGAAACTAAGGCTAAATCTTTATTAGCTGCAGGTAACAAGAAATCATTTGCTTTGCTTAACGCATTGAACCAACCTTCGTGCTTTTTATACTTTAGAAACACAAAGGCGTGACCATACTGATGGTCAGGTTTCAGCAGACCATATGTTTCAAACATACTAGCCACCGCAAAGAAACAAGCGACGGACATTTGAGTGTACAATGGAAAACCGATTAGCAGGAAGTCTTTTTTAACCTGCTGCAACGCCAAAAGCATTGCTTTCAAACAATAATATTGTTGATCGACGTTGTCCATTCGATATTGGGCACATATTTCAGTCAAATCGCAAACGGTCAGGTCAGGACGCTCGAGCTTAAACCTGTAATAAAAACTCCGAGAATCCATATCGATCGTGTTCTCGACTTGAGGAAATTTTGATAGAACACGTAATCTATAATGTAACAGTGACTCGCTGCAAAATTTAGATCCCTTAACGACAGTTACCGGTTTTCCTAGGCGAAAATATATGTCCGAAGCACGCACGCTCAGTTGTTTACTATTGCCCCAGATTATATATTGTTTACTATTGCCCCCACGGAAACACGGCATTTTCCATTCATCACATTTCACAATATCTCGATACAACGCATCTGCTTCCTGTTCCAAGTCCAAGTGACGGAGACGTATTTTTTCAGCATACGATATACCACGTCTTATACCATTGATCCGGACTTTGGACTTAAAACACCTCGTCATTAGCTCTTGATTATACCGGATTGGCCGTAATCCATACCGGATAATAAACTCTCTACACACGTACCACTGCAAAGATTCCATTTCGCAATAACGTTCTTCCTTGAACAACAAGGCGTCGATATTGCTTTCGATGGCTTGAATTTGCAAATTTGAAAAATATGTAGAACATTCGAGCAAACCTACTTGGAATTCGCATGGGATTTGGGACAGAATGAACATAGCGTTTTTCTGCTGAACATTCGAGAAGAACATCCGTATGAACGGTAAAGCTAACGTTCTGCCCAAATATCCCGTGCACACCACATAAACTTCTGAGTTACCAGGCTTGCTAGTTATCGGTTTCTTAACAACAACCGATTTAAACAAGCAACATAGCAAATACATTCTACATATTGTGTTGCACTCGAACACAGTAAACATTTTCAGCACCAGTGAACCGCCCTCCCGCAAGACATTGAGCGCTACCATAGTCTCGTAGTTGTGTAGGCGCATCACCACGTTCTCCTGTTCACCAGGATCGTCCGAGCAGTCTATGCTTCCGTCCGCAGTCACCAAACATGCGTTTCTATCGAATTTCTTCAGCACCGTGCAGAACAAATGTTCAGAATATCCCGATTGGAATATATCGCCCGTGTAGTCCGGCCCGAACTCCCAATTTTCCAACGTATTCAGTATTAATCGGTCGTCACTGACAATGTCGGGATGTCCGTTGGACTCATGATAGGGATTCAACGTCATCGCTAACCATTCTAACCGCAAACATTCATGATTTATTGCCATGTAATGGTTCAACGAAGACACAAAAGCTCCAGGAGCTTCGCACAGATGCACGGTAGAAACGATATTTCTATCGTTTATATTGTGTGGAATCAAATTCGAACCATAGGCGATTTCATAAAATTTACACCACGCCTGAGTCAAAAAATCAGGACGTATGTGATGTCTAATATGCTTTATGACTAGGCCTGCTGGATTCATTTTAGTCGTATGTGAATGCCATTGATCTAAATCAAAAAAATTCAGTTTTTGTTTGGTACTATTTAAGACAGTTTTTAAATTTTGATAATCCTCTAATTTCCATTGAGGTTTTGTAAACATATCATTATGATTTGGTAGTTCCCATCCAGTTTTCAGTGTAAACGATTTACAAAATTCTTCACCCTGTGTATACATTTTTTCGGTTGACATTTTTTTTACACGTGAAATATATACACATATATTCACTCAAACCTATAGTAATGAAGTTTTACTGTAATACAAGATAAAAGATACTACTTTTTTTCCGAAATTGTTATTCTTTTTATCTGAAATCACAGAATATTAAACAATTATTCATCAGATCATTCACTTTTATTATTAACTAATTTTATTAGTGGAAAAAAATATATAATGTTACAATTATGTTATTAATGTTATTACTAATTGCTATATGTTAATGCATTATAGCTATACAGATTCAATTTGAAAGGTTATGGAAAACTAAGCAATTTAGGACGTATCTTCATTTCACTAAAAATAAATAATAAGTCAATATTTCTCAAATTTAAAATTTTCTCTTTCTGTAATTGAATTGAAATTGTTTTAATACTATGTACCTATGCAGAACAACTCAAAATAAATTATACTCAATTTCAATAACATAAAAATCTAAGCATGCCATGATTTAAAATGTAAAAGATATTTATTTATTTATGTATAATTTAACGGGACTACCCCTTTTACAATATTGATTATGATATGAGACCAATTATAGATAGGATAAAACAAATTCATAAATTGTAATGAGGGAAAATAAAAGCAATCACATAATAATGTAAATTAACTTAAGTCAGGTGCATAGTGACATGATAATCAAAATATACCTGCACCTAAGTTAATACTGTATGTATTAACACTAAGATCAATAATTCATGAAAAATGAATCTACCAGCACATCACTAAATACTCAAATCACTAAAAAAATTTAAAACCATTCTGGACGCTGAATAAATCATTAATCTAATCATTTTAAATCATACAAGTTTTAACAAGAAAGTGCTTCGTGATCATATTTAGGTATATTAATAAAATATTTTATTCTATACATTAATAAATGTTATTTTCAGGGGTTAAAATTTAATATTAAAAAATAATAAAAAATATTTACATATCACAAAACACATTAGCTTAATTAGGGTAAAGAATGTACAAGAGCTTATTGTACCAACAACATAAAAATTATACCTACAAAATAATTAGCACTATTGTACCTTTTTAAAATATGTAGCAGTTCAACATGCATAATATAGTGATTTGTAAACTGGAACAGCAACAATAACAAATAGTTGGTTTAAAATATGTAAAAATAGTGAAATCTAATATTTTTAAATACATATATAGAAAATTTTCCAATACATTATTCTGTAGTTCATTCATACAACACCTTATAAGTTATGTACACAAATTAATACTTTTCAAATAATTTAATAGGAAATCGTGGGAAATAAAAAAATCAAATATTAATTAATTTTCTATCACATAATTATTTATTTATTTATAATTGATTTTGCTGAAATAAATAAATTAAATAAATAAATATATGCATAATATCTGTGATGAAAAATATTTATAATAAATTTAAAAATAAGTATTTATTTATACATTATTTTTTAATTAAAATAAAAAAATTTGGAAGTAATAAATGTAACAATGGTTTACACTGAGAACTTGATATTAGCCATATAAATTTAAAAAGACCAATTTCGAATTCAAAATAGAACATAAAGATAATAAACATAATTTAATTCAGACAACAGAGTACTTAATGGTTAGGAGTGCTAAAAAACTTATGGTTATATCATGTTCTAAACGCAAAGGATTACGCAAACAACGTGCATTAATTCAATAACACCATAATTCGGTTATTTAATACAGTCCAACAGTTACTTTTTACTCATAGGTAATCATTATTCAAATTTAGCAAGTTGAAAAATAAATTACATTTACCTGAAGCAATTTCCCATTGTTTACATACGCCAATTTTTAACGAATGGTACTTAGCAAACATTGTTTGACGACAGTTATAAATGTTCAAACAAAAATAAATTAATTCAGTTCATTATTTTTAAACTACGACATGCTCCGACTTGAAAAGTTAAAATATTGATAACAAATCAGATGATAATAAAATCAAAAAATAGATGAAATTTCATCTATTCTGTGATAAAATGATAATCGAGCGCACGGCTCATGTAAAGTTTATAGATAATATAACTCATATTATCTAAGCTTGCGGCACATGGGTACGGAACTAATATAGTACGGATTTCAAACAAACATGAAGCCTCAGTCTCTAAATTAAATAATTTATAAACTTCATCGTATAATACTTTGTCTGTTTTCCAAAGATTTGTATTTAGTAATATTTATTATTGGTATAATCGTCGTCTCATAACTTCGGGTGGCGCCATTAAATTATGAAACGAAATCGAAATGAAAATGGATTTGAAGAATGGGTTCGTAACACAAAAAAACAACGTACTCGGCTCAGAACTGTAATTTGAAAAATTACTATTTTCAGGGTGGTTACATGGAAGCCAAAAAATCAAAACTTGAACAGCAATTTATGGACAAAGCGGCTGATAGTGAAAATCGTGTTAAAAGTCAAATTTTTAAAGGCATTTCAATCTTTGTCAATGGATATACTTGTATGTATAATAATAAATAAACATAAACATTTACCAATGCAATATCTCACATTGAATCTAATAACCCACAAGTAGAGACACAGAAGAAATTAATTTAAAACAAATATTACAATGCAATAACTGAATGCTTATAATAAATTAACAACTATTGTAGTATAATATTATTTTCTGATTAACTAATTAATCAATTTTTCAAATAGTTAATGTTTTTATTAATACCAAAGAATTAATCAATGTTATGATTGATACATAGTTAATTTTTAAAAGAACTTTTAAAGTACCAAAAATGGAAAATATAAACAGTTTACTTGTGGTTGTACTTATGTAAATTTACTAATACTTCAGAAACATAATTTTTGTCTTGTTAAAAATTTATAAAATTATTTTTCTTTTAATGTCTCTCTTTAATGGTTTTCTTTAATGTGAACACTAAATTTATATATTCTATGCTTGAGCAGATTTTCATAAAATATTATACACAATTTAAATATCCAACTTGCAATTAATTACTTATGAATATTTAAAGATAAGATTAATGGATTATTATCCTCGTTACAACTCAAAAAATGATAATAATTCAATTTTTAATTTTTAATGACCAATTTTAAACTAAAAACAAATGGTATTCTTGAACTTATATGAATTTAACAAATTACAAAAATTGATTATCTTTGCTCTACCAATAGCCATATGTATTATTTTTATGAATTCATTGGTAATAAATATTAATATTTTTCTCCCATAATGAATATTTGACAAAAAATTATATTATACTCTTATTTAAATATATTTGCATTTTAGTGCCTTCTGCTGATGATCTAAAAGTTATTATGATGGAGAATGGAGGCGTTTATCATCATTATCATAGACCCAATATTACTACTCATGTGATATCAAGTAATTTACCTACTGCTAAATTAAAGCTATTAAAACAATACAAAGTTGTAAAACCTGAATGGATATCTGATAGTATAAAAGAAGGAAGACTATTAAATTTCAGAGATTATTTACTTTTTATTGATCAACCTGATCAGCCAAAAATAGATTTTCCAGTCCGTGCAAAAAATGCATCAGAACCTACATTTTTATCAGAATTCTACAACAATTCTAGATTGCACTTAATATCTACTATGGCAACAACATTTAAACATTTGGTCAATAATACCCGAAAGTGTACTAAAACTGATTATCCAGGACGACAACGATTAAAGCAATGGATTCAACAAAATAAAGCTAAAAACTTGTTATCTCAAGATTTGGAACTTGATTCTGAAAAAATAGTTATGCATATAGATATGGATTGTTTTTTTGTATCTGTTAGTTTAGTTGAAAGACCTGAACTTCGAGGATTTCCTGTAGCTGTTACACATGCCAAAGGTAACTCACATTTAAAAAGAAAAGGTGTAGATCGAGAAGCCGAATTTGGTTTGTATGTTAAACGCTGGAAAGGTGATGATGATGACAATGAAAAAAAAGAAATGGTACGAGAAGTTCAACCTAAATCAACAAAAAGAGATGGAATTAATGAAACAGATTCAATGGCTGAGATTGCTTGTTGTAGTTATGAAGCTAGAAGAGTTGGTATTAAAAATGGTATGTTGGTAGGCCAAGCATTAAAGATGTGTCCTGGTTTGAAATTAATACCATATAACTTTGAGCAGTATAAAAACGTTGCTAATATCTTATATACACACATATTAAATGAGTAAGTAATAACTTATAAAATTAAAACTAACCAGCTACATTTATTTATAACACTTATATTGAAATTATATATCGTATGTAGGGCCAGTTTATATACAAAAAAAAACTGTAACAAACAATTCATTATTTTTGTTGTGTTTATTTATATCACTATTATAATAATATTTAATTAATTATTTAATTATTTAATAATTTAAAATATTCACTATTTTTTGACAGCTCACTCATAAGTTTAGAACTAGTATAATGTATTCTTCAGCTTTCTATCATTTAATTATTTTTAATATATCTGTATAATTAATTTATGATATATCTTAGTATAACATTTGATTTCTCTAGTTATCTTATAATTTCCATATAATACTAAGAGTGTGATAAAACTGAGCTCTGAAGTACTTTAAAATCCAATTTTCATATTTCATATTTTGTATTTCTATAAACAAAAAAAAAAGTTTTTTATTACCACTACTAAATTGCATGGCCTATTTATCAAATAACTATCATGAATTAAATTCAATTTGAATAAATTTGAACTATTTTAAAGAATATATATATATATATATAATAAATATCTAGAAGTATGCAATCGTTGTATATTTTTGTTCAAATATGTAAAAATATGAATTTGAATATAAATCTGGACTCTAATCAAAAGTATATTCTAAAAATCTAATTTCTATTGCTGTAAGCTTAAAAAATATTTATGTAATATAAATTATTAATTAAAATGGATTTGAAAATATAAATTTTAAATTTTAAAAAAAGTAGTTGATAAGTTTTTTAAATTGAAAAGTTTGAAAAGCTTATAATATAAATTGTTCATAGGTGGTTTTTATTAGAATATTTAATAATTTTCTTAAAATATTTTTATTTTCCAAATGTATCAACTATTACATTACTGTTTATGAATCTATTTTATACATTTTTTAGAATGATAAAACCAATTATTATTAAAATATTTACTTCTTTATAACTTACTTTTGATTTGAACTAAAGAATTTGTTATAAAAATGCAATATTAAAATTGTATTTTTACTACACTAATTAAATAGGTGTTTAATATTAATTAATATTGTTTTAAATTGTGTAGCTATACATTAGACGTAGAAGCAGTTAGTTGTGATGAATTATACTTAGATTGTACGCAGATACTGGAAACTACTAAAGCATCACCACTTGAATTAGCAACTTTTCTACGGAAAGAAATAAAGGTATGGAATATTTATTTTTTATGACAGAAAAATATAAATCCTATTATTATTGTTGTAAAGGAAAGAACACAATGCCCATGTTCTACTGGTATTGGTTCTAATTGTTTGCTTGCCAGGTTAGCTACTAAAAAAGCTAAACCGGATGGTCAGTTTTATTTGGAACCTGGTATTACTATGGACTTTATAAAACAAATCAATGTTTCTGATGTTCCCGGTAATTTAAAATAAAATATATTTGCTATCAATTAATTATTCTACATTTACCTGAACAAATATGTAACTTAAATTAAGGTATTGGAAAAACCTTGGGGCATAAACTGTCAACACTTGGTGTTAGCACTTGCGGGGAGTTAAGTACGCTTTCTCTGCAAACACTACAAAGTGAATTTGGAAACAAAACCGGACTTTCATTGTTCAAGTAAGTTTCTAAAAATTGAAAATTAACTTAAAAATACTTAAAACAAAAGCATACCTAAAAATTATATAGAAAAACATTACCTTGAAATTTGTACATTATGATTGGGTTTAGATTATTAAAAAAATAATTATGCCTGATATCAAATTGTATCTAAGTTTACTCTGATTTTTATAAGTTGAAAATCCAAAATAAATTTCTATACTTATATATGTATATATATATATATATAATGATTTAGTAATAATCAAATAATAAATAAAAAATAAATTGAAGAATATAGTAAACCTAATTTTTTTTTTTTTTTTCATAATAACTAATTAATTTTGGGTATAACCATTGATTTTAAAATCAATGGTATAACTAATATAATATTTTTTTAGTAGTCTCAATGTACTTGATTTAAAAAAAAAATTTTTATGAACATTTTTATTTTAGACATTGTCGTGGAGAGGATGACCGAAAGCTAAACTTTGACTATAGACCAAAGTCAATTTCTGCAGAGGTAAATTATGGCATTAGGTTTGAGAACAAAGAAGAATCAGAAAATTTTATTAAGCAATTATGTGACGAAGTTGAAAAACGATTAAATGATGTTGAAATGATTGGCAAGACCATTACATTAAAATTAATGGTATTTATAAAATGACAAATTAAAAATTCATTTTTAATATATTTACAAATATAATTTTTTATAAAGATTCGAAATTCAGAAGCACCAAAAGAATCAGCAAAATTTTTAGGTCATGGATTTTGTGATCATATTACCAAATCTAGTTCTTTAACTAAGTCAACATCAAGTTCCAAAATAATTTTCCAGTAAGAATTTCATATAACACAGATAACAATTATTGTCTTATTAACTAATTTTTGTTTAGAGTTGTCAATAAAATAATAACTCAATTAGATATTGATCCAACTGAATTACGTGGTATAGGAATACAAATAAATAAATTAGAAAATCGTTCTGTTAAAGGAAATGCTGGATATATTGAAAATTTTATATTAAATATGAAATCAAAATACGAACTAAAAAATAATCAAGTATCTTTTAATAAAAATACTAATGATAATAAAATTATATTAACAAAAGTAAGAGAATCTAAAATCAAGAATTCTTCTTCGGTAAATGCAGAAATAATATCTGTTGAAAATAGTAATAAATCAAAAACTGTTTTAAATTATTTTAAACCCAAAGAAGGAAATTCATGTTATACCCAACAATCAACTACTTTACAATCTTCATCAAATATCCCACATCCATCAATTGTTAATATTAAAATGTCACAAGTAGATCCATCATTTCTAGAAGCTTTACCTGCAGATCTGCGAAAAGAAATTGAAAATGAATTGAAAAATAATGAATTTTATAACTCTGTAACATTAGAAAATGAAAGTGAATCAATGGAGTTGACAATGACTGAAGAAAGTTCTAAGTTATATCAACATGTTCATGTTGATAAAATGAAAGAATTTATTGAAGAATGGGTGATTACTGAAAATGAACCTAAGATGTGTGATAATATAATGGTTTCAAAGTACTTGTGCAATTTAGTAAAAGATACCAAAACAGAAGATGCTTATGAAATCATAAGAAAACTTTACCAGTAAATTATAAAATAAACTATCATTTATTTAATAAATAATTTATAATTTATATTTTCCAGATTAATAAAAACTAAGAATCATTTGGCTTGGAAACAAAGTTACTTTGATATTTTGAAAAATGTTCAAGAAATTATGTTAAATTTGTATAATGCAAAAATGAAAGTAGAAAGCACATTTTAATAAATTGCTATCAAAATCAACATTACTTTAGAAAGTTTTCTAATGTTTATTTAGATAAATTATTTTAACAAGAAAATAATTAAAATAAATGCAAAACTAAGCATGAAATTTCAAATTTATAAAAAGTCTATAAAATGTATAAATTTACATGGAATTTATTTTTGAATCTATGCAAGAAATTTCAATAATTAAACTTTTAATATTTTTAGAGTGAACATTTATTTATATTAATCTCCCACTAATATTTTTTTATGAAATTAAATGTCTTAGGTATTTACTTTTATAAATATTTTTGTTACAACAATAACATAATAGGTTCTTTAAATTATAAATGAAACAGAAACTATAAATTTATATATAGCATAATAACATATGACATAACATGTTAATCTACATTATATTAAATGTAAATTTTAGTAAGACTCACTTTCGAGTTTTCATATCTTGCTAAGTACATACGTGTAATATAATTGACTTAATTATAAAGCAAAACAAAATATTTAAAGAAACAGAATGGTAAAAAATTAAAGCAAATATTTTTTAAAAGAATTTTTTAATTATAATTACAATTTTAAAACATTAACAAAAAAAAAAAAGATAGAACTGATTAAAATCCTTCATTGTATTGGTAATAGTAAATAAAAATATATATATATAAATACAATAATTATATTATATATTTTTTAATGTAATTAGCACAACATACATTAACTAATCAGATGTTGGTACAACAGTAAAATATTATTAGAACTGAGAATTTAATTTTGTACAAAAGGCTCTTGCTATTTTCATATTAATGAACAGTACGATAAAGTTATCGTTGGCAATAAAAATAATATTTAAAGGATTTATTTTATGTTGATAATCACTCAGTACATAAACAACAATCAAGACTCACTGCCTTGTCAAAAAATAAACATAGCTCAAAGGAGTTATATATAAATATAGTTAAAAAACAATAATCAATTGAAAACTATTTTAGAAAAAAAATTAGTAAAAATAACAGGGTTCTTTTGGTTTTAACTGCTGATGATCACCAATGAGCAATTGTTTTTAATATTCTTATTTACTCAATAGGATAGCAAAACTTCATTCCTTAAGTATATTTTCAAAATATTAAAACAGAATTGTAATATATTCTATTCCCATTCTGTAGTACCAGGAGGTTTTGGTGTAAGATCATATAATACTCTAGATATACCAGGTATTTCTTGAGCAGCAGCCATCATTTTTTGTACAAGCTAAAAATAGTATTACATGATGAATCATACAATATTAAATAACAACTAAAATTTTATCTACTAACAGCAGCAGGTATATGCTTTCCAGGCAATGCAGGGATACCAGTCATAAAATCTTCTGTAATAAATGGCCTAATAACAACTGACCGTTGACAAGATGGATAACGATATGCTACATCTCGATCAAAATGAACAGGTATGAGAATTACTGGCATCTGACTTACTTTGCGCATACTAACAGGACATTCTGTTAAAACCTAAAACCAACCATAAAGACTTTTAATAACAAAAAATGTTTTAGAACATAATTTCTTACCTTATTAATAACATAATCGGCTTGTTTTAGCAAATCTATCACTTGAACATTTAGATATGTTTGCGTTATATCTAAAACTTGGTATACAACTGGTGGACCAGCAATATAACATACCCTATTAACATTATGGCAAACTCTAGGTATTATTCTGGCCATATAAAATAAGTCTTCCCATATAGGTTCAGGTTCGGTACAAGAAATTCCTACTACATAACTATAAGATCGTTTATCACCCTAAAAAAAAAGTTACTTTCTATACAAACTGTATTATAATACATAAATATATGTACAATATATAAGTAATATATACTTGAACTCCAACACTCTTTATTGGTAATAGTGTAGCAGACATTTTCTGTTTAGATGATATTTCTCGTAACAACTTTCGTTCCTTTTCAGATGTTGCATTTTCTATTCTATTTAAAAGTGCATGGCTCTAAAATAACATAAATGATTATAAGGATATTATTAAATGGATAATGTATAAAATTAACTTACCTTTAAAACCATATCATTGTATTCAACAACAATTTTAACTACAACTTGAGTTTCAGAAAAGTCTTTATCAATAAAAGGTTCATCTCCACATAATATTCGAATTGCTAAACCTGGACCAGGAAATGGATGTCTGTACACAATACTTTCACTCAGTCCCAAATCCATTCCTAACCTTCTAACCTATAAAATACATTAATATAAATGTATTAATCTAAACTAAATAAAATTTAGCGTAATTTCATACTTCATCTTTATGAAATTCTTTTAAAGGTTCAATGACACGTCCTTTATCTCGTAATTCACGTATAAGCTTGCTATCATTATGATGGGTTTTTATAGTATCTGCATTACTACTAGCTAATCTTGAAGCAGATTCAATTAAATCTGGTCTTAAAGTTCCTTGAGCCAAGAACACTTCTTCAGATGATAAATTTAATAATTTCAGGAACTTATCAGCAGTCTATCAATAAATCAATATTAATTTAAATAATTACATATATATAAAGGGACTACCTTGACAAAAACATCTCCAATTATTTTTCTTTTTTCTTCTGGAATACTAGTTTGACACAAAGGAGAAGAAATTCTAGTTCGATTAGACACATGTAAATCAGGCAAAATAGTTGTACCATATTTAAAATCAAATGTGGCATTTACAGCTAATAGAACAAATTTAAAATCAAATATCAATCTCATAATTTAAATTATTTTTTTTTAACATACCTTTAACATCTAACCCAAGAGCATTTAACGATTGCATTACTTGTTCACTTTCACCCAAACGCATGAAACCATTATCAATATGTACAGCAATCAGTTGTTCTCGATCTAATGCCCGATGTAAAAGTGCTGCACAAACAGTAGAATCAACCCCACCACTTAACAATACTAAAACTTTACTTTGACCAACGTGATTTCTAATATATTTAATACATTCTAGTTCACGACTTTTAACTGTATAAGTTCCTGCTAAACCAGCAACATCATAAAGAAATGATTTAAGCATTTGAGTACCATTTTCAGTTAAATTCACCTAACATAAAAACAATTCTTTCAGTTTTATTGTGAAAATAAGACTTTTTTAATATATTTCCATAAGTACTAACCTCAGGATGAAACTGAAGACCATACATTTTTTTAGTGTCATTACCAATAGCAGCAATCATATTATTAGATGAAGCTATTGTTTTAAAAGTATCAGCAACTTTGACAATGTGATCTCCATGTGTAAGAAGAACACTTTGTGTCTTACTTAATGATCTAAATTTTAAAGATGAATAAAAATAAATAGAATAACACTATTAAACATTTAGTTGTTATAATGAACTCACTTAAATAGTAAACATTGGGAGTCTATATCAATATTATAAATACCGTCCTCACGACCAACAGTAGCAGCAACTTGACCACCAAATTCTTTATTCATCATTTGCATGCCATAACAAATTCCTAAAATAAAACAAAAACATTAATTTAAAAAAAATATATCAAAATAAAACTCCATGTCTTACCTAAAATTGGTAATCCTATTCTAAATATGTCAGAGTCATAAATTGGTGCATCTACAGCATTAACTGAATTAGGACCTCCAGAAATTATAATAGCCCTAAAATAAGGTTTTATTAAACAATTTTTAATAATACATTAAATGTTACAAACTAAACTCACTTGTATCCTTTTTCTTTTATTGTTATTGCTGAAGTATTTAATGGCAACATATCACTTTCAACATTTAATTCTCTAATTTTACGGTCAATAACCTTGCCATACTGAGCACCTGCATCCAAAATGACAATTTTTTCACTTGTAAAATTGTTTTCAATTGAAACTTCCATATCTGAATCCATTATTAAACTATTTCCGTTCTCTTGGCTGCAGAAAAACACAAAAGGTAAATGAAATTAATTAAAAATGTATTCAAAAACAGAATCCTATTAAATATTAAAATAGATGGTTATAAATAAAATTAAAAAAATTAATCAGATATATTTTTTTAAATATACCTATATCGATAAAAAAGTATTATTAAAACATTTAAATGTTTAGAATAATTATTGGTGAAAAAAAAATGCAACAAGAAACAAATGATATATTATTTTTGGTATAAAATACAATCAAAAAATACTAGATACAGGCATGTTATACCAATCCAGTACATATTTTTATTAAGCATACAAGCCCAAAACCAAAAGTATACCTACTGTACCTAACGACTTAGTAAAATTTTAACAATAAATTTAGGTTATTTACAACTTACTATCTCAAGTGAGGTGTCGGACTGGAAGGTTTGTACCGTTTAATCGGGTTCTCATCGATTTTTGTGGCCATGTACCAGATTGCGGATTCATGCGTTTATTTCAGTAACATTAGCTGAACGACCAGTCGGGATAATAGAGACAAACTTTTATTTTTATTCAATCTGCAGGAGGATGGTATAATATTAAGCTCAAGAAAATATCAAAAGGAACAACTAATTGAAAAGAATAATTAACAGTAGTGTAATATCTAAACCAATATAAAGAAAAAAAAATATATAAAAATATTAAGTAATAAAATTTCAATTTAATTTTAATTTATATTGAGATTTTCATCAAATGTTCATTTAAATAACCATACACTTCCAAAAATATGAAAGTAGATAAATTAAATCAGTTCATAAACATAATTCATAAAAATACAAAGCACAAAACATAGAGCCATGAAACAAAAAAAAAGACATATATAAATAGATTTTTTAATATAATTCAAATATGTAATCTTTAATGAATTAATTAATATTTTTTAAATTGCATTAAATCTGAAATCTGTTATGCTGATAAAATAAGTTCTAGAATTTTTGTTTTATTCTACAAAGCTTTAGAAGTATTAAAAACATATCGTAAGAACATTACAGTAGTTTAATACATAACAAATTAATCAAATAAAATTTAAAATAGCTGTTTTATTTGAGAATTTAATAATGGCTTGGAATTTTTTTTTTCTAAATTAAATGTTTAAAAACAAGATATGTATAAAAAATTAAAATGTATCTCTTATTATTTCTTTGAAAGATTAGACTAAACATTATATTTTGTGGTGAATATTAATATTGGATATAATAATTTTCAGAATTAAGAATTTTGATGGATAAAAAGAAAATTTTCTTTAAAGTAGGATTATTAAAGTTATATTAATACAAAATAGTTTCAATAGTGGATAACTAATACTTAATTAATAAGTAATTAAAATTAAGACTAAACAAAATATTTTTAAGAAACACCAAAAAATTATAACAATAAGTTAATAACTAATACCTAATTAAATTAAAAAACATTAATACGTTTAAGTATCCATATTTTGACTGTTTGATAATGATTTAAACGATAAAAAATAATACCTGTAAACTATGTATTAATATGAAATGAATATTTAAATATTATTAAAAAAATCTAGGATAATGGTTTTAAATACAATATCTATTAAATATATTAAATAGCAAGTTTCATTAATGAAAGTAAGTATTAAAAATAAAATTAGTTGAACCCAATTAATAAAATTATATGTATAATTAATTCACCAATATCAATGCAATTATATAATTTTGAACTAGTGCAATTTATAGCCAAGATTACACATGAATTAGTTGTATGTAATAGTTAGTATTAGGAACTGTAGCATATTATGCACCAAATAATAAAGAAAATATTTGAATTGGCAACATGCAAAATAATAACAATGATAAAAAGCAAACAAAATCAAACATCTAACGGCTGTATTAGTTTCACAGCAGGGAGGAAACGAACAAGAACATCATGTACAATGTACAAGCGATAGACACAAAGGTTAGGCATTTGATAATAACTTAGGGATAAAATAACTATTGAAAAATTGCATAGGGGCAAAATACTGTACGTAAATTAGTGTCATTAAACCACCCCGACTTACTTTTAGGTCGTTCTGTATATTTTATAGATAAAATAATTTTATAAAAAATTTTTTAATAGACTTATTATTTACTTTGTTTTATTGTACGTAGATGTACATTGATGTACAAACCAACAACAAAAAACCGATCGAATAAAACGTGTTTTGAAAGAATTATTATTTATTCTTATTTTTAATACCGCCTGATAATGATTATTAATTCACGCCGACATGTCGGAAACCGTGTGCACTGAACGAAGTAAATAAACGGTACAGCTGTCGGCGGCCAAAGTGGACGGATGATCGTCAAGCGAACTTAAAACGTTGCGGTCGGCGTGCGTAAGAACTCAACTTCGCGCTTCTTTTAGTTTTGATCGGTAGACACGGAAGATTTATAATACGAAAACATTCGCGGTGACAAACGAGAAAACAACCGATCGGCGCATTTATTCTCCCCTTATCCCTTCCAAAATCGGACCAATGTTGCCAACGACACACTGGATCCGTCTGAGAACAACTTTTTTTTCCCCCCATCAAACCGAAATCTAACACCGTCATCATTAACATTTTTTTCATCGTTTTTCTGTCCTTTTCGTTAATTTAATTTTTTCCTTATGTAACGAAAACCGATACGCCACACGTAAGTTCGTCGCAGCCCTATACGACTTCAATGAAGTCGTACGATTTTACACCGAAAGTCTTCTCGTTCATTAGACACGTTTACGTAATCGTAGTACAGCAGTTAGCAGTAGGTTTCCACGGTAAAGACGCGTGGTGCAGTTGTGGACCGGGTAATGCTTAAGTTGGCAGCACCAAACCACCGGGTCGGTATGCTATAGTCCAACACTTACCATGCTCGTGGTAAAATAGCAATTATCATGCAGTCGCGACTATAATAGATAATAATTATCACCGTTTTGTACCGATGCGTTTCATATTTTCATTGCGTTCTTGATATCATCATAAATGTCAGATTATTACGTCCACATATTTATACAATATTATTGTATACATCTATGACAACATCATAAAAAATAAATTGAATGTGATATTAAATTTGTTAGTTTTAACAAAAAAATTTACACTAACCAGTGTAGTGTCTGGACAGAGTGTATGGAGTGTGATCAGATATCTGTGTTCAAAACAAACGTTTTTGGATCTGTACCATGATAATAAATATTATCTTAAATCATGATCTATACCACGGTCTTAGAAGATCTAAGACTGATCTATACCAAAAACGTTCGTTTTGAACACAGATTAATGAGCCGATAATTTTTATCAATTTTAATAACTGATAATAATTTTATTCTATTGATAGTAGAATTAATCATTAATTACTTAAACTTTGTATGTATGTATTATTAATAATTGTATATTTTTATTTTATTTATAATTTATATTTACCATTGCATTTTTGTAGAACGAGACCTAACACGATTAAACAATCTATTGTTTGACATATTTTCCCATTCAATATTTTACATGATATATTATTAAAAAATCCTAAAGCTTTAAAAAAAAATTGCATTTGTAAATCGTATATAGACATTTATTTTAAAATAGAACTACAGAATTAAAGAATCAACTATAATGATAACGATTAACACCTACACTTTCTCTTGGGACGGTATGAAAAAAGTGTTCACTAATGTAACACTTAAAACTAACAGCGTGTAATATTACACTATTTCAAAACGAACGCTTTCGCGTATACTTTTTGTCAAAATGAACAAACTAATATTATCTGTGATATAATTTTAATTTGCAATTTATCGCAGATCGTAAAACATATACCGTAAAATATGTTGTAATATATGATTTACAACTTGCATACTATTTGCAACCAACTTTTTTGGTTATTACGATAAGATAATTATCATTATAAGTAGGGCAGAGGACTTGTAGCTCTAAAAATTCACCAAATATGCATTTAAATATACAAAATATGCATTTTAAAATTAATTTTTCTGTAGGTACTTATTATAATGAATACATTTTATTTACAACTTTATTTGACAACTTACAAGTTACAATTAATCAATTGGGTTTATTTTATGGGTTTTCTTATCTGGATACACACTATAGGCATTTTTTATAATAAATAGTAAATATAACGTGTTTGAACATGTTTTGTCAACCGTTGAGAAACACGGCGATTACTGAAATATGAATATGTCCGATGTCGGCGACAGGCGTCCCTGTGGTGACCCGTATCAATATTTTATGGGTTGAACAATATTATCACATCTGACTATAAATAAAATTAATAACCCGACAGTCAATCTAATTGACAACTATTGAGAAGTGTTTTTAGTAAAACCATGATGAGTCTGGAAAAGTTAAAAACCATATTAATATTATGATCAAAATTTAAAATCATTTTAAATTCAACGTTATTTTGTTTAAATAAATAATTAAATAAAAACGTCGATGAAAAAATATTGATAAGATTATAAATTATTTAAAATATGCATCTAAAAGTATAAAATGGAAGAAATATGCCCTAAAAACAAAAAAAAATATACAAAATATGCATTTATATGCACAATAAAATTTCAAAACTAATTTTGTGGAAGCATGAAACGTATTTTTTTCACACTCTGCTATTTTTGTGACAGTGCAAAAAAAATATGCAAATGCTACAAGTCTTCTGCTCTAATTATAAGCGTTAATATTACTTTATTTTTAATTTTTTTAATTAATAACTCTCTTCTTGTATGCAACCAGTGTTGTGCATTATCTAGAAAAAATATATAATAATAATTATAAAATATTATATCTTTTTATCTTATATAGATAAATAAATAGACCATCTGAGAATAATCATTTAGATAAATTATTATTCGGTCAATAATTTAAATATTTTTGACACAAAATTATTTTAAACCACGTTTGTAGATGAGAGACATTTTGTCCCAAACAAATAATATAATACAATAAGCAAATTGTTCAGAATTACCTAGTACGCATCACGCTCTGAATAAACTCGTATTAAGCCCTATGCAATATATATCGCTAATAATAAATGTAAATAATAATTCATATATATATTCAATATATAAATAATGTTTTTTTTTTTTTAAATAATTATCCATCCATTATAAATAAGAGCCAATAGGCGCTACGAAATAAACTACCCGTTCAATTCCACTTGGAGCAAATCATTTTTTCTACGTAAATAATTGATACGATATTTACCATTGATTGATTGTCGTATAAAAAAAATTATATAATTGATTTAATATCGATATTTTAGTATCAATAGAAGACATCACCGAGTCCGGGAGACGCGTCATTCGTCTTTCATGAGTTAGATATTGACGCGCAACTCGTTCTCAATGTAATTTGATATTTGGGATGGTTGACCTCAAATGTGGATAATATTAATATTACGACATATACAATTATGATAATAACTATGATTTACGCCGAGTACGAATATTGGCCCTATAAAATGTGTCGTCGATCGTTAGAATTGTCATTGGGGAAATAACATTTTCATCTATAAATAGTTTACCCCTTAAACGTTTACACATGTGTGGCCACTTCAGTGGCGTATACAGAAAATATTTTCAGTAGGGGCTACTATGGACAGAGTTATATGCTATTTGCAAATTACCTCTCATATCTCGTTATAATTTTTGTGTAAGAATAAATAATACCATTAATTATAAATATTTATAATCATATAATATAAAATATAATCAATGATAATACTATAAACCCGTATCGATCATATAATCTGCTGGATATCGACCGAATGTCGATAAAGATAATGGTCGATATAAAATAATAGTTTATTTATTTAGTTCAGTCGATTATTATCCATCGTTGTTTTTGTTAATCTCGCAACGTCGAATCATACATAAAATGTCGTACAGGTATATTTTGTATAATTGTGTAATGCTGAAAGTAAAACAGTTTACGAGTAGCTGACTACAAAATTTTGTTTCGGAGTTAAAATGTACATTTACATCCGATTGACACGTTTTATTTTGTGTACTATGTGATCATTTTTTTTTTTTTTTTTTAATGCATATAAATGCATATTATAATGCATATTTTAATGATTTTAGAAGCATATTTGCATGCATATTTGTGTATTTTTTAGAGCTATAAGTCCCTAAGCCTAGTTATTACTAACAGGCTGTGCTCTCAGTGGCACTGACGTCGGTCGGCCGATAAAATTGGCCGACATTTGTTAATTTCAATGTAATAAATGCAGGTTATAATTTATAAAATGGATGTGCCCTCGTTTTTGTGTTTGGAAACAAGTTTTACTATTAAATATTTATTATTAAAAAAGGGAAAGTGTCACACGAATGACATTTTTTCAAATAGGGAAGACTATGGAGAATTCTATATATTGTTTCATTAACTATTGGAAGAGGATGAAGATTCAATACTATGGTCCCATAAGCTCCTTCTTTCATGGACCAAACTTATTAATATTTTGCAGTCCATGATGAAAATATAATATAGTTTAAACTGATTATGTCGACAGAATCGGCCGATGTGGTCGAAGACACTGAGACCACTTATATTATATTTACTTTATTTAAAATGATCGGGTGAGTTTCACCAATATCGGTGCCACTGTGACCACAGGTTTAATTGTTAAAAGTTAAACCCCAATAATTAAGAAGCTCAGAATCAAGTCACTTTTGCTAAAAAAATCGATTTGTGTTTTATGACTTATTCGTGTAAAACATTCAACGCTGTACAAAGATTTTTTTCTCTCTTTCACTCTTTCAAGGTTAAATTTACAATTGAAAACATATCTTAGAATCAAAACTCACATTTGCCATGGTTAAATGTGAGTTTTGACACCAACTTGCTTTTTACACCTAGAAAAGTACTGATAAACACTAGGTATTCATAATATAAAATATTGATAAGATAAAATATGATGACGTACATATGATGCGTTATTAAATAATTAATTAATTAAATAATAAATTAGTAAGTAGAAGTTATGATGCACATTGTGTTCTTGTCGAAGAAGTGCCCAATTTTATCGTATGATTACATAATTACGAATAGTAGTATTTTTATTATATATTTTGTACTTTGCCGAATTATAGCTCGCATATTTTTATAATAGTTATTAAAATGCGTCAAATGAATTTTGATTTATTCTTGCAGTCAGTCCCGGATTACCCATTAGGTGGAGTAAGCGCTTGCCTTAGGGTCTCACTCGTTTAAGAAACCCTGTGAAAATGGAAAACTATATTTTTTTTTTATTTAATAATAAAAGTATTTTATTTACGAATTTACGGGACAAAAGTCATTATGAAATATAATATATACAGGCGTTTTAGGCAGTAATAATAATACAATTATTTTGAAAAATTAGAAAAAATATAACAATTTATTGATTTTTCTTGTAAATAAAAAAATTTCAATAAACACGATTTTGTTTATAAATAATAAATGGTTATTATTAAAACTGTTTAT